CATCTATTCCCTATCATACAAGAAGTTGCATGTTGATGATGTCTCTAGGAAAACGGTGGTGATTTTTAACTTCCAGTATTGCTGATAGGTTTGGGTTTTTTTTGAGAAGAGCATCCTCAGAATATTTTTGGCACTTGAACTTCAAAATCTTCTTTCATGTGAAGAACTTCCTTTATACTCTCAAAGAGATTATCAAGCTTACAGGATGTTTGGGAAATAATTCATGTGAAATGGATTGCAGTCTTAAGTTGTAAGCCTTGTCCTGCTTGTGCTGTGTACAGTGCCCAGAGTTAAAATCCTGTCTCTCCTGAATTGTCCATAAAGCCTATAGATTAGATGTATGGACTTGGTTTGACAAAGCAGGGACATGCTGTTTTCTATAAACTCACATCCCTTGAATGTTCTGGCTACTGTTTAAACTTTGTGCTTTCTGCATCAAAACTGACAAACTTCTTTAAATGGCACACACAAAGAAAATGAGAAAGCTTTTTAGTGTCCACCTGGTTTCACTGGTGCTTTTCTTTTGGCTCTCTGAGAAGCAAATACAGCTGCTCCAGACATCTTAGCCTCTGAGAGGGCTAGGAACAGTGAAAATGCCTGTTTTTCAGGTGCTGGAGGATTCTAGCAGTGAATTAAAAGTAATGGATGGCATGGAAGAGATGGCATTATCTGCTGGAGAACAAGAAGATATTGTCATGTGCAGTCCAGAGAAGGACACTGGCACAGAGGCTAACTTTGTTCAGTCTGGAGAACCAAAACCACATCGATCAGGTGCATTAACTGAAAGGGGGAGACAAAACAAGGCTGGGTTGGATGGGGCTTGGAGCAACCTGCGCTAGTGGAAGGTGTCCCTGCCTGTGGCAGGGGGTCTGGAACTGGATGGTCTTTAAGGTCCCTTCCAACCCAAACCATTCTGTGATTCTGTGGTTATCTTAAAGATGCTTCATGTAGTTTGGTAATGCTGGGGCCTTATGTTTATTCTAAAGTTTTACGATAGTCTAAATATTACTCTTTGAAATCGCTGTAATTGTAGCTTGGTTAATCTATGTATGCTGTTAGCAAAACCTCCTTTAGCTAGTACGACTTACACAGGCATTACACATGAGCAAAAAGTGCCCCTCAGTTTGTTGTTGTAGTTTCCGTGTGATATGTAAAGGAAAAAACTAATATAAAAGGCTTGAAGTGGAAGTAAATACAGAGTTTAGGGGTTGGTTGGGGTTTTGGGGGGGAGTGGGGCTTGTTTTGTTGGTTTTTTTGTTTGGTAAATGCAGAAAATTGTACCTTTTTTCAGCTTTGGCAGCATTAGACTAACCTAAAATAATATTCTAATTTTCAGATGTTTCATGCAATGATTTGACATCCACTGGGAGAAATCCTTTTGATATAGTAAGTTGACCTTCAGATTCATTTCACTAAGACAATCTGCATGCTACAGTACTGTTAACTTTTCCTTCAAAATCAGTTGCTGCACAAAGTCAATCAAACTCTTTAAGATGTTATTAAACCAACTCATTTAACTTACTCGAAATACAATCCACAGTGCAGCCTGTCTCCCTGTTTGGGCTCACACTGTTATTCCTTACTGCACGTGAGTGTAGGATGAATCAAGACAATTGTAACAGAAAAGTGTCTGATTCTTATCAGTTTGATCCTTTATTTCTTGTGCATTTCCTTGTAAGTATTTACTTATGTAATGGATGGCCTGGCCTTTTCCCTCCACTTCCTTCTTGGAATTTTTCAGGTCTGTCCCATCCCTCTTCTTCTTTTATATAGCTTTACATTTTAGAGCTGGTAGTAAGATTCAAGAAGGAAAAACGTGTGTAAAACCTTTCAAATTGCTAAAAGAATTTGGGTGTAGAGTTACTTGGGTCTTGTAAAAAATCCTCTTTAAAATATATGGATTACTCATTATAGCAATGAGTTTCTTCAAAACAAATCACACATTCACTTCTTATTTTATGTCTGGAAATAAGCTTGCAAAATTTCTGTTAGGAAGGCCATGGTACTTAGTGGCACATGGTTTTGACCTGTGACTGTTGCTTTGTAACAGTATCATATAGAAGCAAGCACATTTTAATATGCTTACATCTACTAAATCGCTGCAGGTTTCAGCTCTGACAGATCCATGTGTGGCATGTTCTGAAGCTGCAGTGTGTCCACAGTGCTGAGTGAGAGGCAGGAGAGCTGCATGCTCCCATTCCATGTCAAGTATTTTCTGCTAGTTTTTGCCCCATGATGTTTGAGTGGCCTCTTAAGTAGGCAGGCACCTGGCATATGTAAGTGGTTGCCTGGCAGTAATTGCTGTTGATCTGGTGCTTATACAGATGATGTTAGAGGAATTTGCTATTACCTTGTTTGATGTGCCATTGCAGTGCTGTTTTGTAGAGTGGATAACTGTTCCTCCAATACTTAATTCACACTCTGATCATTCTCCCACAGCCAATGCTGGATGCTGAGCTTCCCATCACTCCAGTCAAGACCAAAGCCCAGAAGTTTGCAGCAGCTGAAGCATTCAATGACCTTATTGTATTTTCTCCCTTTTCTTCCTCAGGGGAAAAATGAAAAGTAACTTGAAATTCAAAACATATAAATTATACTAGCAAAAAAATCCCAGGTATCTGGAATAGTCTGCTACTCTTGAACTCTATTCAGAGTGAGTGAATGACTTAGCACTTTGTAGTGGAACTTATTCAAATATTTCATAATGTTTTACAGTGCAGTCATTCTGGACTGCAAGTACTGCTGTATATTAGCAATGGTGTTCACTGGGTTTATACCTGCTGTATCCAATGACTGCATATTTTGCCTACAACCTGAAGTATTTTTAGTTTTGTATAATTTCATGTATTTCCTGTCTACTTCAAGCTGTAAAACTATTCATTTTTAAGCTTTTCTACCCTGAACTTATTTACCTCATGAATTATTATGAGATGCCTACCAGACTAGCTGTACTAGTGCCCTGTTTCTGATGCGAGGGCACCTTCTGGGGGTAACACTCAACATGTTACCCCCCCAAGCACTGTTTCATACTCGGTCACTGCTCTGAGGCTGCTGTTGCACCCTTAGGCTCTGGTATTCTGTGCATTAACAACTGCCTGAGCAGCAGCTGTGCCAGGGGTTGCTGCTTGTCTTTTTTTTTTTCCTGTGGGAGTCTTTCCTTGTGTTTAACAACTACTTGCTTTGTAATAGTAGAAACTCAGAACAAGGGTTTCTGAGTCAGACAGTATCTTTTCCTGGCAATGTATTAAAATAAGCATTGGTTATTTTCTTTAAGGACACAGTTATCTATTACATATCTTAAGTACCTTCAAGCTAAGTCCTATTCTCTCTTTGCTTTTTTCATGTGAAAATCTCTTAACCTCTTTCTCTGAACACTTGACATGCAAACCTCAGCTTCTCCTTGCATCTTTTTCCTATGTGTTCTCTTCTCTGGACTGTAATATATTTATGCATAAGGAGTATGCCAGTTATATATACTTTGTTTGAGTAGTAGTACTAGGAGTGCAATTGGGTGCTGTATTTTTAACCAATACCTGACTCGGCTCCTTGTAATGGTGACCTGAGTGTAATGCACACATTCTTCCTCTAGCCTTTATTTTAACCAAGCAAAGGTAATTCAAATCCCCCCTCAGAAAGCATTGCGACTACAGCTTGGGGAGCTTGTCTGACAATTTTTAACCTAGAAGCTGTGTACTGATTACACTGAAATAAATAGAGGAAGCTAATGTGACTTGGTGTTACTGTGCTGGAATTGACTTCCTTTGTTACTAAATTCCTGTTAACATGGAATAGATACATCAAACACATAGCTCTTAATGACTTACCTCCTCTGTTGAGCCATCAACACTGCACTGAATAGTGGAGACAAGGGATTTTGGACATCTGAGGTATACACTTAGGTTGATGTTAGCAATGTGCTTGTCTAGGCTACTGCATCTGCTGGAAATTTCAACACTGTGCTTGTTGTTAACGTGGCATTGCTAAATGAAGCAACTGTTATAAAAGAGTATGAGCCATGTCAAAGAGATCCTTGAAAACGTTAGTGGTGGCTATTCCTGTTCTTGTTTTGCAGACAAGACCAGCAGAATGACTCACAGCAAAGGGAACATACTTTATTTTTTACTGGCTTGACTCATGAGGTGAACTTGCCAATAAACCTCCCCACCCTTGAAACTGGCGTTGACTCACACGGAAGTGATGAGGGGAGAGAAGCCCAAGGCTCGTGACCTGTTCCATGGAGTATGTAACACTTGTACAACTTAGATCTCCCTTGAGAGGGAAGAGTGACACATGGATTTGGGACACCAAATAAGCAGAATGTGCCTTTTAAATGGAGGAATGGTGTAACTTTTCTAACCATGCTCTAGGAGAGAGATTTTTGCTTCCTCCAGCTTTGAACTCCATCCTGAAGTACCTCACTCTGGTCAGAGGCTCTCAAGCTTTCCCTGTTTTCCAGTGTTTCTTAGAGGACAACTCCAGTGAGGTGGCACTTCCATGAGTTATTCAGCAGCCATTCACAGCCTGATTGTGCACCTCCTCCTCCCCAGGGGGGAGCTTCAGTCCTTTGCTCTACAGTATTTTGATTCCTTTAGTGAGAAAGGAGTAACAGCTCTACCTCGCAGAGCCACTGAGGCTGAAAATACCAAGTGACCATCTCCTACATGGTGCTCGCAGAAGATGGAGTTGAAGATTGCTGCCTGAGCTCACAGGTTCAGCACCAGCATGCCCCAGGCTGCTTCCCAGACTACTCGCCATACAAATCAACTGGCTCTGAGTTGTGATCCTCTGTCAAAGTGACACGCTGTCTCTACGGCAAGAAGTCAGATACTTCTACCTTTGACCCCAGCTTGCCGAAAGATGTTTTGCTTTTGACATCTTACCGAAAACAAACTTTACTTGTGGAAGTATGTTTTATTACCTCAAAGTATTCATGTAAGAAGGCACTTTGGTTACAGCCATATTAAAAGCATGAAGTTAGCATTAAAATTGCACCGCTGTAGTTATATCATGGTCGGCATGACGCTGGTGAGAGTGATGTCTCCAGCAATGCAGAGTTTGGTGATCTCGTTCAGCCTCTTCTCACGGAAGCTGTACTGCAGCAAGTGAGCATCATTGACTGCTACCTTGAAGTGATCTGCCTCGCAAAGGATCTGGAGCTGAAATAAACCCCACAAATCAGTCAAAAGATAGCCACTGGATTTGTTTTAAGCCACAGGCTTGAGCAGGCTGGCACTGCCTAATGGCTGCTGCTGCTAGCCACTGGTGACCTTTGCCTTCCCCAAAGCCCTGCTGTACTCTTCCTCCTCCATGTTTCAGCCCAGAGTTTGTCTCCTTGTGACTACATCTGTTTTCCAGAAGTGGTTCTCCACACAGTGAGAGATACATTCACACCAAATTTGAACCTATTTTGCAGGAGGAAAAAGCTCACGAAGACAGCTTGGGTGCCATCAGGGAAAATGCCTTATAGAAACCTGTCCAACAACGGCTGCTGAACAGCAGTATACAAGTAATGAGGATCTGATAATAAACAGGAATAACAGCAGTGAGGAGATGTTATACCCTGGGCACCTGGACCTGCAGGAGGGGTCGGAAGTGGCAGTGCCATGGAACCTGCTGTGCTGGACAGCCAGTGAAGGACACCGGGCGACCGCCCCAAAAGGACCTCTAGGAGCTGATGCCTGTGCAAAAGCATCAAGGTCCTTACCGCAAGTCTTATCACACAGCCCTGACCAAAATCCCCAGTGCCTGACACGGGTGCTGTTGAGACACAGAGACCCAGTTGGAGATGTTTGTGTTACCTTGAAGGGTTTTCCAGCTTCAAATGGAAACCTTGGAGCTGTCCTCTCCTCCTTTCCCCAGTTATTGTGGAACATTGAATTGCAGACGATGACTTTCCTGTTGTTTTCACTGAAGCGGGGATTGAAGTGGAAGGCAATGTCATTCCCTTTCTTGAAATCCAGTGAAAACCTGCAAAGACAGTAACAGATTTGCTGTTTTTTTTCTACAAAAGCCCTGGGATTGCTAAAAGTAGCTGCAAGCAGGCAAGAAAAATAACCCACAGACCCTTCCGGGCAATGGCAGGACATTTACGTATTTATTGTGTGTAATACTTGATCTTACACCATGTGGGTGTTATTTGGGAATGGAAAGAAAACTCCAGCTGCTATGTTCCATCTGGCAGTGCCCCACAGAACCCTCCCTTGGTGCTTGACACCCCTTGATACCTGGTTGGATTGGGGTTGATGGACCCTGTGATGGTTATGAGCATCCGAGGGGCAAGTCCTGCCTGCAGGTGCAGCTCAAAGGGGACTTTCTGTGAGACAAGAGAAGTGGGGTGTTAACAGAAAACACGTGTTACAAGCTGAACGCTCTGGCACAGGTTGGCTCATGGTGTGACAACCCCATGAGACAGTGACCACCCATACAACCTCCTTGGGACAGCCGGCCCCATGTCCCTCCCGTGGCCAAACTACACTCTGCAGTAAAGATGCAGAACCCTTATAAAACAATGGAGCTGTTACCATTGGAGGAGCTGGTCCCCCCTGTGGATGAGGGGGTCCAAATCCAGGGCCACTGGGTGGTTGTCCTGGGGCAGTGTATGGCCCTGGTCCTGTTGGTGCTCCAGGATATGGTCCGTGTCCTGGTGGTCCTCCGGGATATGGCCCTGGTGGTCCAGGATGTGGTCCGGGATATGGCCCTGGTGCTCCCGGATAAGCCCCTGGAGGGGGGGGGTAGGCTGGGAACCCCCCAGGAGGCGGTGGCTGATTTCCCCAGGAGGGCCAGCCTTGGGGTTGGGGGGCAGAGGGGTTTGGGTTGTTGCCAGCAGACAAGGCATCAGCTAACTGGGGAGAGAGGGGAGAGGAGGAGCGTTAGGTGGGTGACGTGAGTCCTGGGTCAGGTTGAGTCCTGCAGCATCCATCTCTTACAGCCCACAGCATACACCAGAGAGAGAGCTCAGCCACTGCCCAGCAGCCGGGTGGGGTGAGTGCCTGGGCACAGGTTTCCAGAAGCCAGTAAGCACCAATGTAACTGAGGCAGATGTGGGGGTTAGGCAGGTTAGCAAAGACATGTCCCCACCCCGGCCAAAGGTCCCTGCTGCAAGGCGAGGCAACGCTCAGAGTCCCCACATCGCTTTAGAGTTCCATACTTACAGAGAAACCGTCTGACATTGTTCCTAAAACAAAGAGACAAAGTCATTTTCAGGGTACATCATCTGAAAAACAGAGATTCTTGAGAAGAGCTACAGTTCACAGCAGCAACTGGCTGGAACTTGGTCAGTCCCCATCACGTACCTGCCAGGCAGAACCGACAGCTCCTGCAACCACAGAACAAATGCTCGTCTGATCCCTGCAGGAGAAATGGTCACCACCATGAGCAGCGAACGGCTCCGGGAGTGAATCCAGCCCAAACACTCTCAGAATGAAATGGCCTTTTGCAGGGTTGTTGTTGATACCATTGTTGATGCCTTACAATGCTGCTGGTGTCAAGCAGACACCGAACTGCAGGAACCCAATGCCCTCGCCGTCAGCCGGCCAGTAGAGCCACGCTGGATGCAGGCAAGGCCCTGCCAGCCAGGCCCCTCCTGAGGGGTGACAGCAGTATGGGGGGGACACAGTCACCTCCCTGCCCTGGCTGCAGGGTGCTGGCTCCCTGTGCGGGGCTCTGAGCGGCACACGCAGGCTCTGCACAAGGGGATGGTGCGCAGTGACAACGCTCTGCCCCGAACACAGATGATGAGCACTGCAGCATCAGCACCCACCCGTGTCACGGGAGCAGCCGTCCTGCACATCCGCAGCCAGCGTCATCCACTTCCCCATTCCCCACAGCAGCATCCCAGCAAAGACTTCAGTTAAAAAAACCTAAACAAAATCCCAGTGGGGGACACGCAGCCACCCCTTGACACGCAGGATGGATGCTCACAGCAGGCCTGGAATGGCACAAGGAGTGCGGCACTCATGGGTGCAGGTCCCCTTTGTCCCCCATGCGCCCCAGAGGGGCACACGTGCCACCCGCTGCTCCAGTCCAGTGGATAAAAGCTGCTTTACAAGTTTTACGAGCACAGGCCGAGCCGCTCCGCTGCGGCAGGGCTGGACACATACCTGCCCGCTGGATTCCTCCCGTCAAAGAGAGCATTCATGGAGGAAGAAGGAAGAGGGGGAGAAAAACCAACAGAGAGGCAGAAACAGGGAAAGAAGAGGAAAATTCCAAATTGAAAACAGAAGGAAAATTCTCTCTGAAAGAAACATCCAAATGCAGAAAGGTGCCAGCAAATCAGGCTGCCCTGCCTTGAGAGTAACAAAACCCCAAGGTTTCACAAGCAACAAACAATCCCTTTCCCTGGCCAAACACTCATACTCCTGAGCCTGCATGAGTTTTTAGCTGGCCTTTCAACCAGCATACAGAAGCCTGGACTGTTTGAACAGCCTGTATCCCACAAAGCTTTTATTTGCCTTCTGGGGCTTTTTTTTTAAGCCCTTGGGTTTGCCATTTGTGCACAGGGCAGAGCGGAGGGTGCACACAAAGCTCCTGCAGACTCCCCTTGGCTGGTTCCAGCCAGGCCAGGTCTGGTTGAGCCACAGCTACACAAGGCTTGTGCTGCTCCAGTGAGCAGGGCTCCCGCCTGCTCTCCCCTTATCTCTCTGCAATACCTCAGGAAGAAGCAATTTCACTCCATTGCCCACATTTCTTACTGCTTCAGCCCCATGTAATAAGCAATTCACGAGGCAGGAGGCTCGTGTCTCCCCACCAGGACCAGGGTGGCTGGTTTGACATTTGTAACTGAGGTTTTGAGGACCCACTGTTCCTCTGCCCCCAAACAGTACGACCAAGCTCAGGGCCTGGCAGCCACCCTCGTCACCCGCTGTCACTGCGGTGCTGTGGCTCACAGCCACCCCTCTGGAAATGCTCCAGGGGTTATTTGCCCGCTGCCAGGCTGTCACGGGCGCTGTCATGGGCGCAGGAAGGGGTTTTTCCAGCTGCACCTTGGGCAGTACCTCAAAGGTGCATTTCCAACAAAAAAAACCGTTGAGATCACTTGGTGTCTCCCCGGCAGCTCAGCTGTGAGGAACACTCCGGGGCAGACGTCTATAAAGCACCCCAGGTATTTCCCATGTTCACACAAACTGTGACAAACACCTATTTGGGAAAAAATTACAAGTTTCTTCCCTTCGGTGCTATTTCTGCAGTGACTTTCTGGGTGTCTCCAGCCTCCCATGCACCAGTGCTCCCACCCACCCCTCCGCATGTGTCTTGGGGTACACACAGGGCACCCCATGAGTTCCAAGCGCCCTTCGTTACCTTAATATAACCACCCACAGTCACCCCCAGCACCCCTAAAGCCACCCTTGCCCCTTCCGATGTGCTTCCAATGCTGCTGCTG